CATGTTACAGTATGTCATCAACACATCACGTCTGTGGCATGTTACAGTATGTCATCAACACATCACGTCTGTAACATGTTACAGTATGTCATCAACACATCACGTCTGTAACATGTTACAGTATGTCATCAACACATCACGTCTGTGGCATGTTACAGTATGTCATCAACACATCGTTTCCATAAACTTGCCTTTCCCAAAACTGTGTTGATACGTAACTACTAGGTGGTACCTAGGAAGCTGACAAATTTGTTGTCAGCACAAATTCTCACAAATCTCTCATGTCCTGGATCTGGATTCTTATTGCAGGTAACACTAAGCGGCTTCGGCTGTTTATGATCAATAAGTGTGTTGGTAAAGAGAAGCACCATGGCCGATTTCGTTTATCGTGATCCAACTGATTGGACCGATACGACCAGAGCTGTTTGTTTATGAAATAATGTCGGACCTAGTAATATAATGCTGCTTTCAGGCGAGCCTTGACAAAGCTTTACATTTTACATTTACAAACAGCCAGACCGTTTATTCCATAAACGTTCGTCATTTTTAATCGTGACAATGGACATACTTTCTTCCAAATATTTCGAGTTCCTGACAATATATTAAGATTTATCCACTAGTGGTCCAAGAATGACTGTTAGAGACATGTAAACCTTGCATAACCGATCGAAACAGTGTAGTCCAGAATGCGTCCAAGAAATGTCCCCGTGTTGTGGATATTTAATGTTTGTGATGTCTGATGAAGGTATGACAGTAAACATTGTACTATTCGTCGAAACTAACACATAAGCACACTGTTTATTTTGCTTTATGAACCCATATGGAAAACATATTTTCCACCTTGAAGAACATGTTTTGAAATATAAAAAGAACTATCAATCGATGGTTGTCGACGTATATAGCGTTGTTTTTTATAATAAATGTAATACGGCGGCGTGGTGATTAATATGTACTATGGGATTCGGACATAATGAGTTGATACGGAACAAAACATAATACCCCATTTCTAAACGTTGCCAATATTACGAGTGATGTCGGTTCAGTTGTCTAGGCGTGTTTTATTTAAACTGTTGGGGTTACATCCGATGAAGTATTAAAATTATACTTTTGGGGCCGTAGCATTGACAGTGACATTCGCCTTTTGCGACTAACTACGTACTGTACAGCATTTCTGAAAAAAATCTTGGAAAAAGTTGGTGATGTCATATCAGGTATTAAATCTTCGTTTATTGACTGATTCCCTATTACGATCATTACAAAAATCAGATTGCATAACAAATCAACGGAATTGTTTGCTTATTTCTTCCCCCTCTATACAAACCTGTCTGAAGTAGCCTGCATCTTTTTCCCGGTGTCGTCCGTCCGAAGATGCACGTGATTTCACATCACGCGTGTGTGTGGACAGCCTTGACTTATTGTCACGTGATAAGATCCCAGGTCGCATGTTCGCGGCATTTTCCATGGCGGATAACCGACCATCGATGATTGATACTCTGCCTCCAGCTCCGGGACCGTTGAGTCTCGGAATATCCGCGAACGTGACCGGTGTATCCAGCACTTTTCCCTCCGTAACGGACACTGACGGACGAACATCACGCATGAGGGTGTCGGTCAGGTTACCGACCCCTTGAGCGTTAGGCTTGAAAATCTTCTCCAGCTTTAACCTTAAAACTTCACACAGACTCACCTGGGGAAAAAGAATAGGTGACGTGTTTACTGGTATTCAATTTATTCCATTTTGGTTTCTAACACAATGTCGAATTCAAATGATCATGTGAATTTGATGAGGGTTTATTTTATGAGTTTTTGATGATATTTTGATGATTTTTTATAGTCGTCCGGTAATTATCTATATACTGAAGTAAGGTTTGGTGACGGAGTTAACGGGCCGAGTAAAGTTGAAACACGTCTTCATCTAGATATACTAACTCGACCAATACTCATTTAACTGATAGTAATTGGCCGTATATATTTGGAAAGGTTCGTTTTCCTGTTGGTATTTTCTGGTGTAAATCAAAGAGGAACTGTAATGTTTACTACAAAATTCTCCCCGCGAGTGTGTCATATCACCAGTTTCCTCAATATATTCTAAAATTGGTTAAAAAAGTCTATCAAAAATTAGTAGAAAATTTAAATTTTAATATTGATGTCGCCTGATTGATAACAAATTACACATTTCTGAATAGTTACAGCACGAACACCTTATTGGCGAGTTTGATGCTTGTGGTGGTGACTAGGGCAGTCTTACAAGCTGACAATAATAGTCTCGGCCACAGTGTATTGTTAGGCCATCCCTATCAGGGCATCAATGTATAGAGTACAGTGTCATGTGTATCGTTAGTCTTCTGGAGACGAAACAATACAAAAAATAGACAAGTGTTCAGAGCCGATCATTTATCTTCTAACACATTACTACACACAGACTCTTCAGACTTATATGGAGTACAATTTCAATATTGCTTGGTTTATATCAAAAATTCAATCCCGCGTGAAACATTTTAATTAAGGTTAAATATTTCATAAGTTTTTCAACTATTCCTAACTTTATCAAACCTACACGTGTCGAGCGACTTACCTGTAGATCCTGTAGTATTCGCGGTGTTGTTCGTACATCAGTTTGAACTGTATCTGATACATGTTTAGAACACTGATGAGTCGTATGTTTTACCAAAACCAGAGATAGCTGATGTTGAGCGATTCACCGTGCTTAACACTAAATCAGCGAGTGTTCAAATACCCGTAGTTAGATATACTGTTAATTGTCTGCCTGGAATTTATGGCCATAATTTATGAAAATTTAAATCTCTAAACTGTGTCTAAATAATCCGAATAGCTAAGTTATCTAGATTTGGATCAAGTGTGAAATCGGATTTTAACTGTCCAACTTCAAAGGTAGATGTCATTAATGATCACTTACAAAATGTAAAAATTTGGTCTTATGTACAGACAGGACAAGATCTCACGTCACAGAGTGTCGTGGTTGTCAATAAATACACGTCCATCCAAACATAATGATATAGAGTATGCTACAATGTTGAATTCATTAATCCCTTGGTTAGATTCAACTGGAATTTTTTTTTTTTTGACGAAATATTAATATCGATGTTTATACATTGGTAATAAAATTGATATGCATTCATGTATAATTTAAGGGGCGTAGTATTGCAAGCGCAATTTACTATATCGTGAAATATGATAAAATGTAAGTATATGTATATACATATTAGTAATAAAGTACTCACCAATATTGTGTAACATTTTCATAAACGCAGTATCAGGGTCTGGACATTCGCCTGGTTTATGAGTCTGTGAGTACGGCAGCGTTTACGGTTGTATGAACATCACACACCCGTGTTGATATAACGCGGAGCTCTAGCCTACATGTCATTGTGTTACAAAACAATACGCTCATTTAAACTGTAGAAGATAAGACGACCATATATCTAAAGACAAAGCCCGAATACCGAACTACTGTATTAGATAAGAAATAAATGCACACGTGTGTAGATATATAGGGCTACCAACACATATACGTATAACTGAAGGAGTACGTAGAATTTTGTATTTCACATACATTTGTAACTTAGGTGTCTGTCGTATGTATGAGAAAGACTGGCGGCCCGCGACCCACCTGCTGTATGTAGTATATGTATACGTCTCTGATTGGACTGGTATATCTCAATATCAATGGGTTAACAGCAGTTTATTCGAATTAAAACCGGTATTCGTTACTTTTCTATAAACAGGTGAATACACGAACAATTTTATTAAATTAAGATAGTTTGATTCGTCACACAATAGGAAAACAATTCAGCACAATAAAATAAAACATGATATGTTTTCAGGGACAATATCAAAGACATTATTATTATTAATCAAACACAAATAACAGAATCACATGCAAACAATAAAAAAATATCATATAGGGAACAAATCAGCAAGGTTTTATATGCTTTTTTTGTTTTATTCTGTTTAACGCGATTTTAAAACACCATTGATAGTGTTGTTATTTGAGGAAAAATTACCGAAAGCGTTATGAGAAAACGTGTTCAAGCAAGGACTTAGTTAATCTAATTCCGTGGTACAAGTAATCTCGAAGTGCCAAAAGAAACAGCGTTGGTTGTTTAACATAGCGAATTCTAAGAGAGGTTACTACATGTATGGGAAACTACAGTGAACTTCTGTAGAGTTGTTGAAATATAACGGGCTTGTGCAAGTCTATCAGCAGGTGCACGTTCAGAGAGCTTTTTGTCTATATTACGTTGTCTCAGTTGGTTGTTTCATAAAGGGTGATGTTACAAAGAACACTGGCCTGAAAATAAATGTATGCTATGGTGTTTCTGTTGAACTTGTTCATGTAGAGGAAATAGACATTAAATGTTTAGCGTTCCTTAAATATATATAATGACGGCTATAAATTGGTATGTAACGCATACTAAAGCCAAGTCAGTACAATTTGACTTAAGTCAGAAAGAGGACGGCTGAGCAATACTCAAAAGCTGAAACTTTTTTGCATTTTTCTTATACCTAACCCTTTAATTTCCGTTTGGATAGATCTACATTATTTGCATCCACCGGAACCGGGTCCGCTTCGTCGATTAGTTTGCCAGTTTGGTCATATTTTGTATTCAACCAGTTCGACGCGTGCCACGACTATTTACGCTAATGTGCATCTATTTCGAGGACTTAAGCACATCGAACTTTCGAATGAACCTATTTTAAAAATGTTCCGGGAAAGAAAAAGATGAACGCTGTCGGGTGTGCATCCACTCAACAATAATTAGGACCTAGACTTAGGCCTAGTGTGTCGGGACTGCAAGTAACATTACAAACAACAATCGTTTTACTACAACAGATTCTTATTGTGTACAGACATGGACGATATTTTCACACAAGTTAGAGAAGGAAATGCTTTCCATGTTCGAGTATGGCTGGATAACACTGAAAACGACCTGAACCAAGGGTAGGTAGAAAACATGGTCCCGTATTTATCTAACATAACTTCGACCGCTCCCATTTCGACAATCTTACTGATGGGTTTTTTTCGATATCGACATTCTCGCTGCAGTCTTGTTTAATAATTGACCTTTTGTACTTCTTTATTTTCTTGATAGTTCCTTTACTTTTTGAAGTTTACATATTTGTACATCTCCAAGTTGCAATGATTCAGTGGAAGTAGGTCAAATATATTATGTTATGATTGAAAGAGGCCCTGGACGGGATATACCTGGACCTACATTGATCCGGTCTCAGTGTAAGACGTTCTCGTCTCTCGACCAGTTTCTTGGTCGGGTGATTTTAACATACCATATATTTAAGTGGGACAGCAGCAACATCATATGCAAGTCTTCCAAATATTTTGCGAGAGTTGTGAAGTTCGTAATCTCTGGAGACTGATGAAGCTGCCTATTGAACAATATTTCTCATCATTTCCAAATCTATATGCTTTGCTGTTTGCTTCTGTTTTCTCAGACATACGCTACAATATAATAATACGGGGCTACATTTTATGAATACGATTTTGTTTGCAGGACTATTGAGGAAATATATAAGCACAAATTCCGTGATAGGTTAACATTTAAACTGAAAATTCTACATTTTTAAATTGGCTACATTTTAAACTCCTTACCTTCGGTCAGCTGTGTGGAAGTATATATCAACACAACAATTAATGAACCAAACCTATTCTGTAGAACTAGGTTTGGAAACATCTGGGGGTAGCTCATGAAATCTTCTTTAAACTTTTATTTTTATTTTTTAGATATGCTTAAGTTGTCCATCCCCTTATTTTCTGTTTTTTCTTTTTAATTATGCGCAAGTTGTTCGTACCCCTGTCCGTTTATTTTCTTTGGTCAGAAAACTGATTTTTTCTTTTGGCTTGGCCGGGAGTCGAACACTAGACCTTCCGCACATTGAGCGAACATGTTACCGCTCGACTATTGAGGCATCGAAGCTGTCGTCGCGAAAAATTAAACATGAAATTATATGCATTCACATCACAGAAGCAAAAAGCCAGCAGAATCAACTTTCAGTGTACTTGTCTAATCATTGTAATCTTCACTCTGTGTAATTGTCTGTTAGAACAATTGACAAATTGTTGTTATCAGCTTAACATTTACATTGTGGGCTTGAATACATCAATGATCATTCAACTGCAGACATGAACATTACATGTAGGTTAGAAATGGGTGATTGCACAGTCAAAGGTCCAGTCTCTTTCAAAGCATGTGTATACGTAGGTATAGTTAACAGGTGTAAGGGTATAATGACAAGTCTTTAATTTACATTTAAAAAGAAATGTCCACCCTCCAACTAAATGACTGAGTAATTTTTGGCTCTGTGATTCTTTGGCAAAGTTTACAGTCGTGTTAGATAAGGAACACAATTGTATACATATTGTAAATATATAATTTACTATATATACAAAGGGGGGCCACGATGGCCAAGTGGTTAAGGTGTCTGACATTCTGCTACCACTTATAGCCCTCCACCACTCGGAAGCAGGTTCAAGGCCTACGTGGGGCAGTCATCAGGTACTGGGCGAAGGTCAGTGTTTTTTCTCGCGGAACTCCAGCTATCCTCCACCATCAAAACCTAAACATCCAACCTAAAACACAAACCAAACTATACAAAGGTGTACAATCCCAACTATCCGGACTGCCGAGACTACCAGATTTCGGGATTCCCACTAGTGGATTATTTTGACCTACATATTCTGAACCTTTGTAATTGTTAAGTATTTTTCAGGGCTAGTGGAATGAAAGTAACCACTTGACTGTCCCAACAGCTTGAAGGTTTAAAAACATTTCATGTATATCAGGGCTGCAATAATTCAAATTTAATGAAAGTGTACATATACTAAAGGACGTCATTTTAAATACGATTTCTTTTTTAGGTCACCTGAGCTTTAGCTCAAGTGACCTATTGCTATCCGTTTTCGTCCGTCGTCGTCCGTCGTCCGTCGTACGTCGTCCGTCGTCCGTCGTCCGTTAACATTTTACATTTCAAACTTAAAGTCAAGTTCTGCTGGGCCGATTGAACTGAAAGTTGATAGGAATGATCGCCTCATGGTCCTGACAAAGTGTTGTTATTTTTCGGGTCGATCAGAAATCCAATATGGCCGCCACGGCCGCCATTTTGAAAACCTATTTCAAACTTAAAGTCAAGTTCTGCTGGACCGATTGAACTGAAAGTTGGTAGGAATGATCGCCTCATGGTCCTGACAAAGTGTTGTTATTTTTCGGGTCGATCAGAAATCCAATATGGCCGCCACGGCCGCCATTTTGAAAACCTATTTCAAACTTAAAGTCAAGTTCTGCTGGACCGATTGAACTGAAAGTTGGTAGGAATGATCGCCTCATGGTCCTGACAAAGTGTTGTTATTTTTCGGGTCAATCAGAAATACAATTTGGCTGCCATGGCCGCTATTTTGCTACTAAGTTCTAATAGGCCGATCTCACTTAAAATTGGTCTAGGAATGATCAGCTCATGGTCCTGACAAAGTTAAGTTAACATTATACTATTTTTTACTCAAATTGGTACATATTTCAACAACAAAAATAAATACTATAGACTCAGGTGACCGTTAAGGCCCATGGGCCTCTTGTTTCATATTATCAAATGTATTTAAATTAAGTTACAGATTGAAAATGTACAGTGAGTTTATATCATTACATTTATCATTATAGTGTTACCTATTAACTGAAAGCTACATTGACTAATACTGGATACTAGAACTTAGAATACTGTGTTAAAATGTAGGTATTGGTACACATACATACTATATATATAGATCTCCAATATTGTACATGTTATGATTTGTCGATGACCACATTTTGGCAGTTTGAAATTTTTTGAAATTATTACACCCATACATGAAATGACTTTTTCGAACAGTAGATTATTCTATGTTTCACTATTACCATGTTGACTACAAAGACCCTATATATGGTGTATATATAGTAGTGGGCATATAGCATGGCCAGGTGTGCTTTAACTGGGTCAATTACAGGGTGTATTGATGATCGATGTATAGATTCTCTGATATTCAACATTTTATACCAACAAAGATGCCATATATAAAGCGTTGTTTTGCTTTAAATAAATATCTGAGTGTGACAAATCAGAAGAGTGGCTTATATAGAAGTATCTTTTTACTTGTGGGATCAGAGATAGTGTCACTGTGTGTTCACACATAGACTATATAGTGCACACATTATGTGTGTTGAAGAATTGAAATGGTGTACACAGATGCACAAGTCTCGTTGGAGACCTTTGCAGTTTAGTACATATTTAGTTGTACACTCATTGCTAAGTCATAAAGATACAATAAAAATTCTAGAAAGGACCATTGAATTTGATACACTTGTTATTATTAAAAAGCTCTATAAAATACTCATTTTAGTTCATATGATACATACAATGTACAGTAGGTGTTCAGGCCACTGAGGCCAGTGTTTTGACATCATTGACCTGTCTCTTTAAACTTGGCAAGTTTTCCCTCTATACTAGGTTATATCACTGGAGAGATGCCACACAACCTGGTATACTAGATTATCAAATTGTCAAATCAAATGTACAAGATATATCCTATTTATTATTACCAGGAGTAGGTGTATGGTTTATTATGAACATGTAATTGAAGAGGGTTGTTTTTGTTACTGATGATCATGTATTTGTGTATCGGTGCCAATCCTGTACACTGTAAGATACTGCATTAAGGTGCCAATCCTGTACACTGTAAGATACTGCATTAAACTGCTAATTCTTCAGTAACAACAAATTACTGTCTATTTATAGTGTTTGTTTAAATTATTACATCAAGTAAACCTATTGTGTTGGTTAGCAAGGTCACAGGGGTCAAATGTATAAAAAAAAAACACACCTGACAACTTCTGTTGAATGCCGGTAACCAAGAATCCTAAGATACCGGTAATAATATTTGACTTGTAGACCCATATATATTAGATAGATGATGGACTATCAAGAATGTTCAAATTAAAAACCTTGACACACTTTAAGGTCACAAGGGTCTAATATTTCTTTAAATCTTGACAACTTCTTTTAATTTAACCAAGCAATTGTCCTTGGGTGATTATATGTGGCCTACATGTAGTGATGCTTGGATGAATGTGAATGACTTTGAACTGCTTTCAAGGTCACAGGGGTCATGCCAAGAGGTTAGCTGGGTTTAGGTTCAGTAGTGTTGGTCTGCAGCATGCTGGGGTATTAAAGTTAAGTGCTATTATGTTACAGTAGTTTAAATACTGACCTAAAGCTTATACCACTTTCAAGGTCACATGAGTCAAATTGGGAGAGAGAAAAAAATGTTTCTTCTGATTAACCAAGAGTTCTAGAGTCCAAATATTTTGCCTGAACCTAGCTTGCATTGCACGCTGTTGAATTTGTAAAACGATTGTTAGCACCTAATTAAAAGTTGGGTATTATTTGTATTTATTTTATATCATTTAGTTTATTACAAATAAAGCAATGGTGTCAGATCACTAGACTGAGACATTTAAACAGTGGTTATAAAAAAGATGTGTACAATGTGCATGGATTATTTCCAACAGAATAAGAGCTGTGTGTATAGTACTTTATCACTGGGATCTTCACCTAAATGACAAAGGTCAGAGATATGGTAATTAATTGTTAGTAAAACTGTATCTCGGCCATGTTTGTATACCCCCCCCCCCAACTATAAAAACAAGAAGGGTTGATTTTATAGGTTATAGTTATATCGTCTTGATAAACTCTATCAGCATTACCCACAGCGTATTGTAATTGAACCATCGTATTTACCTCAAGGTCAAAGGTCAAACAAGTAATTAATTTTCAGTAAAAAATTGTCTGGCCATAATTCTTAAACTGCTCAAGATATCTTTATGAAAAATGGAGTTTACTAGCATCATTTACTGGTTTTAATAGAGGCCCAGGATAGTAAGTGAGGCAGGTGGTTTAGTTCAATAAATACCTAGCACTGTATATAATGTTTTATAATTTGGTGACTCATGGATTGGAGCATTACAAGAAAAATAAATCGTATTACAAAACCAACCCAGGCATCTACTGGTGAACTTGGAAGCCAGAGTCAGTTCTCAAATTTCCTGGTGTACAATGTATATCTAGATCTGTCTAGCCCCATTTTGACTGGGCAAGCTATAATATCACAAACCTTATTCTTCATACTAGGCCAGGAATGACACCCTATGAATATCATTATGGTTTCCCTAATAAATCATACATATATACCTCTACTGTATATGTGTTTGTACTTGTGTATTGTGAAGGTCACTTGACTCGGTAAACACAATTAACACGTACATATAAAGTTGTAGAGAAAATGTCTAAAGAAAAAAAGTACTGCTTCATAAAAAAGAACTTGCATTATTTAAAGAAAAAAAATGATACAGAATTATATGTATGTCTAGAAGGGTGGTACTTTCGGTCAAGGCAGCACAGTGATGGACTTAACATCCCTGATCTGTGCAGTGGTTGGGACTCCCCCCCGGTGAGGGATATAGCTTCCATCATCGCTGAGGAATGCATCCTTCTCCTAACATCATCTAACAGGAAACGCAACTAGAACACAAACAAAGGGGCTCCCCACAGGATTTAATCTCAGACCTGTAAAAGCCTCACCAGGGGGTAGATCCGGTATCCCATCATTGATAGCTATATAGATGGATGCGATATAGGGATAACCAAGGGCACACAGGGGCCAGAGTTATAGGAATAAACACATGATATACGGGCATTTCAGCGGATTCATGTATACTCAATATGGAGTGATTTATTCCATTCAATCAAATTACAAATTATCAAATTAAATTAAGTATGTTCTCAACTTCAAACTTTAAAACAGAGAACTATTTTCTTAGTGAAGATATTAAAAAAGTTAATGTTCAGTATATAAAAAAATCTTGTATGTTCCTGCTAACCCTAATCTACCTGGTAGGTTTTTGTGCCTACCTTGAAGTTTTTATTTGCATTTATCACTGTTACAGTCAGAACTCCTGCTCTATTATTATAAGCATATAGTAAAACTATAATTTTCTAAAATAAGAAAAATAATCTTACCTTTAGCTACCTATCCTATTTTTTCTGGGGATGATAGGGGAAACCCAACTTCGCGAGCCAAGGGTGTCCAATACAATACACTCCTATTGGGGAAACCTGACTAATGTTTGTTGCCTTGCAGTAAAACGTAAAATAGGATTGTCAGGTAAAAGCATAAGAATATAAAATTATATATTGTTTAGGGATATGCTTCAGGTATACGCTTACCATGCAAAAACAAGCACTGTAGCACTAATACTATGTTGTTGTTTTTCAAGTATAAGGTACTGCACACAGTTATGGCTTGCACTGAAAGCACCACCCAGTAGCCCTGTGTGTTGATTACATAGAAATATTATAAAGTTGGAAAGCACCACCCAGTAGCCCTGTGTGTTGATTACATAGAGATATTATAAAGTTGGAAAGCACCACCCAGTAGCCCTGTGTGTTGATTACATAGAGATATTATAAAGTTGGAAAGCACCACCCAGTAGCCCTGTGTGTTGATTACATAGAGATATTATAAAGTTGGAAAGCACCACCCAGTAGCCCTGTGTGTTGATTACATAGAGATATTATAAAGTTGGAAAGCACCACCCAGTAGCCCTGTGTGTTGATTACATAGAGATATTATAAAGTTGGAAAGCACCACCCAGTAGCCCTGTGTGTTGATTACATAGAGATATTATAAAGTTGGAAAGCACCACCCAGTAGCCCTGTGTGTTGATTACATAGAGATATTATAAAGTTGGAAAGCACCACCCAGTAGCCCTGTGTGTTGATTACATAGAGATATTATAAAGTTGGAAAGCACCACCCAGTAGCCCTGTGTGTTGATTACATAGAGATATTATAAAGTTGGAAAGCACCACCCAGTAGCCCTGTGTGTTGATTACATAGAGATATTATAAAGTTGGAAAGCACCACCCAGTAGCCCTGTGTGTTGATTACATAGAGATATTATAAAGTTGGAAAGCACCACCCAGTAGCCCTGTGTGTTGATTACATAGAGATAAAGTTGGAAAGCACCCTTTGCTATTTTTAGAGTTTTATACAACATGGGTATACATGTAGCAACATTACCTGGGTAATGATGTATAATAAACTTCTATACCAGAGTCAGCAAAGGTTTAGAAAGTTAATATGTTCAAGTGTATTACAGATTGATATTGAACAGGTATTTAATTACATTTAGAGCATGATTTATTTATTTTTGCTTCAGTTTAACCTATGTTACTTATGCAAATACACATAAAGAAACAAACTGGTATAATTAATTATCAATATCATTTAAAAAGTGAATAGCAGTAATGCAATGGAACATATATATACATTACACCCCAAAACCAGAACATTCTGAATATTTCATGAAACCAAAACAAGATCTGTCACAGTGTCGGGAAATATTTCGTTCTCCCAACGTCCCTTTATCGCTATTTGGAGAGTCTGACTATGGCTGAACTTTCATTATAAATGTCAACCATAGAACCGTCACGAAGAAACGCCCCAGGCCTATGGTTTTGGACATTGACAGCGATGAGTTTGTCTTCATCACTTGGCGGGAGGCAGACTTCGTACGATATGTGTACGCGCATATAGTCTGTGGTCAATTTATATAAATTGATGCAATACTGCATATTCTCAATACTTAATGTGTGTATGTTATTAAAATCAGGTCACACTCCATCGGTTTCCGACTGAGATTGTGACAGAAACAGATCACACGACTCGTGGTTGTTGAGTATGGTATTTATTTCACTCTTGTTAGTTAATTTTCAAAAGTTACTGTGTTACAACGAGTGGTTGATGAATATGGTATTTATTTCACTCAAAAAGTTCACAACTTGAGTGAAATAAATACCATATTCAACAACCACTCGTTGTGTAACCTATATATATGGTTATAGTATTAGTACTTTAAGGTTATAGATATATCTCCTTATTATTTGTAAATATCCTACCTATGTTTTTACAGGGATGACCACCGGTTCAGTTTGCTCCACTGGGCGGCCAGAGAGGGGCGTAATAACATTGTGGATATGTTGATACAGCGAGGGGCACGCATCAACGCCACTAACATGGGGGATGACACGGCATTACACCTTGCCGCCAGCCATGGTCACCGTGACATAGCTCTCATGGTAAGAATCAGTACAAGGGCAGACAACTCCATTTGCAGTTTACACCTTGAATTATGTTCCAAAATATGCACTTATGCTATAGATTCAAGGTATGCTGGAAATAGGAAAATTGCATTTACAATTAAATGGGTTTTTTTCGCTGTTAAAATTGAAGTATTTCGGAAAGTTTTGTTCACTTTAATGATTTTCACCAAAATCTGTCTGTATAAAGTACAATTAAGATATACCTATATTATATAGATACTGTACAGGGTAAGAACATTTTCATTCTTGAGTGACAGCTGTATAACGCTACAGTAATTTAATTTTCAATAACTATATAATTCAACCAATGTATTTTTATTCACAATACAAGCCAATTAGGATTAAAATTTATTAAGCAATAAGTATTATTGATAGTTTGAGTAACTGATCAATATCTGTTGATGATTTCACAGCCCTCGAAATGAAAATATAAAAATTATCTTTAATAAATGGAATGAACATGTTACTGAAAGAAGATCTTGCTGAATTTCTAGAAATTGTGGCATAATAGTGTAGAGCAGTGCTTTAACATGATAGTGTAGAACAGGGCTTTAATATGATATCATAGGTGAAATCCGATTAAAGTAACCACATAAATCACTAAAATTGAAAACCATTAGTAAACAGTTGATGACTGGGGTAACAGCCTAACAGGTTTTTCCCCCAAGGTACATGTAAAAGGAAAATTCAGAAACTTTTTCCAACACTAAAACACAATATATATAGAAATTTGATGATGGTAACATAATAACCACAAATGTGAACATTTTTAGAGTAGATAAGTTACTATAATTTAGAACATTTTTAGAGTAGATAAGTTACTATAATTTAGAACATTTTTAGAGTAGATAAGTTACTATAATTTAGAACATTTTTAGAGTAGATAAGTTACTATAATTTAGAACATTTTTAGAGTAGATAAGTTACTATAATTTAGAACATTTTTAGAGTAGATAAGTTACTATAATTTAGAACATTTTTAGAGTAGATAAGTTACTATAATTTAGAACATTTTTAGAGTAGATAAGTTACTATAATTTAGAACATTTTTAGAGTAGATAAGTTACTATAATTTAGAACATTTTTAGAGTAGATAAGTTACTATAATTTAGAACATTTTTAGAGTAGATAAGTTACTATAATTTAGAACATTTTTAGAGTAGATAAGTTACTATAATTTAGAACATTTTATGCCATGGAATCAGCAGTCAACCTCATCACCATCATGATCATGTTTGACTGTCACTCCAATCAAATGCTCACACTAAAGTTGTCGTTTAAATGTCAATGGTCATATGTTCCAAACCCCATCCATAGGTCAATTAAAAATGGACTGAGGACTGGAGTGGTTGATGAATTTGGAGTTTATATTTAAGGTGATATATATGTACCATTGTATAGTGGTATAATTGCTATAACAGTTGACATTATGATTGATAGATTCTTAGGATAGCTTATACTGTATTGTCAATTTGATGAAAGATTGTCAATTTGTTGCAATTACTTAATACTATCACATGACTTTATGCATTATTGTTTCAGCTTCTACACAACAAGGCAAATATCAATGCTGTAAACGAACACGGGAATACACCACTTCACTACGCATGTTTCTGGGGCCAGGACTACGTAGCAGAGGTAGTAATGTCACACTTATAAACATAATAGATCACAGGATTCTGTTACAGTACATGGAAAGTTTAATGGAAAATACAGATTCATGTTTGATGATATGAATTATTTTTAGCCTCCTATCTTTCATTCAAATAAGCCAGTAAGATTGTTTAACTTTCATCATGAAAGATGTTCTTTGCAGAAAACCAAAGGAATGTTTGTATACAGTGTAGTTTCAATAATCTAGCTACCTTGGTTAAAATAGAAGTTGCTGGATTGTAATACACTGTAATATACAATAATAATATACATTATACAACATTTGATATAGCACCCTATCTGGCTAGAATAAGCCACTCTAAAGCGCTTTATAGTACATAGATATATACAATTTTATACAATCAATACAATAAGCATATATACATAACTCAATACATTTTTTGTGCGACAATTAACAAAGTTACTGAGGTAATTTCACGTAGAAAAACATCTAGCCCAAATTTTCCACTAAAAGACTGACCTGATATATATATATATATATCGGGTGGTTGGGTGGTGCAGTGGATAGCGCACTTGCCTTTCACCAAGGCGGCCGGGGTTCGATTCCCCGATCGGACATGANTATAAATAAAGTTTATATATTATATATATAAATATATAGTACCAATAGCTGCATTAAAAAAACTTCACAATAAGTTACAATGCAGCAAAAAGGTTCCTTTACCTTAGAATTAGGACTTTTACATATAAAACAGTATATGACTCAGACTGATCTCAAAACTAGCTTGTTGTTCCACACACAGGATTTTGTCAACAATGGAGCACTTGTTGGGATTGCCAACAAATTTGATGAGACACCTCTGGACAAAGCCAAACTGAGACTAGCTGAGGCATTAAGAGGTAAATGTCGTCTAAACAAATAGCGATAATTGTTTGTATCAGAATAATTTACCAAGTAGACAAACTTCTAACTAAAAGCTTGACCAAACTTTAACATTTACAAAAGAAAGATAAGTACTAAGTAGATGGATATATGCCTAGAGGTTAAAGTTCAACATGGTTAACCAATGAGTATAATGCAAAAATGGGATACATATAATCATTGTCTTACCAACTAGAATTCTCAGATTTGTTTACATGGAATATTTCATGTTTTAATCGTAAACACTCTGCCATGACATCATGACTGTACGGGATGTTGTATTGTTGTAGATCGAGCCTTACAGCTCGGACAAGATCTACAGAAAATCCCATTCAAGGACCGCAGCTGGCTGGGATATAAAACTAGGAGCAGTAAGTGCTGTATGCTTTGTATTGCAAGTATATTAAATTGATGTACACATATTTTATTTGTAAATTGTGATCTTTTATGACAACATTGAATTTAAGATAGCATATATACTGTGCTTGTTAGTTTCTGTTATAGAAAGAACATAAATTGATTACTTTCATCAGGTATAGCTTCAAGGTTTTGACCAGCTTGAGGCAGAATTAGGTTACATTTAAATTTATGTTTTGTAAAATTGTATCATCGATAATTTTCGGTCATCAAAAGTTGCTATTGAATCTTTCATTGTTGATGTAAAAGGGACCCTGATTGAACACCTAATTTGTTTCTTCAGTCTTTCTTTCGGACTGCTGTCATTACGAACGTACATATGTAATCTCATTGTAGAACCCCCCCATTTCATATAATGTATGTGAAATTATTGATCACCTGATTTTGGCCTGTTGTACTTCAGCAACTGTAACAGCACTTAACAAGTAAAATATAAGAACTTCTCAGAAAAAATTGTGAAATTGAAAATATATGCTGTTGATATTGAATTGTGGTTGATTGATTGGGTGTAAATGTATTACAATGTAGTGGTGATATGATTTGGTATGTGCCTTCCTGTTACAGGTCATGCTTCAGTCTCAGGTTGAGCAATCGTTCATTAACAGAAATTATGATAATCATGAACAATTAAACGGTACTACTCATCTTAATACAAATAGTGACTGTACAAATCTTTTGCATTATGCTTCCCTCTCTCAAAAAACAAACAAAAATAGTCCTGATCTTTTACCTGTACTGCCTACTCTGTTAAACAAAAAATGATGGTCCCAATCTCCCACACAAAAAATGATGGTCCCAATCTCCCACACAAAAAATGATGGTCCCAATCTCCCACCCAAAAAATGATGGTCCCAATCTCCCACCCAAAAAATGATGGTTCCAATCTCCCACCCAAAAAATGATGGTCCCAATCTCCCACACAAAAAATGATGCTTCCAATCTCCCACACAAAAAATGATGGTCCCAATCTCCCACACAAAAAAAATGATGGTCCCGATCTCCCACACAAAAAATGATGGTCCCAATCTCCCACACAAAAAATGATGGTCCCAATCTCCCACACAAAAAATGATGGTCCCGATCTCCCACATTACACCACACTCTAGATCTCTCTAGCAAAAACATGACAGTTTCCGATGTCCTACATTCATTGTGCTACATTTTCTCACACACAAACAGAGACAGTGCCCGATCTCTTATATTGTGCTAGTCTACATTTTCTCACACACAAACAGAGACAGTGCCCGATCTCTTATATTGTGCTAGTCTACATTTTCTCACACACAAACAGAGACAGTGCCCGATCTCTTATATTGTGCTAGTCTACATTTTCTCACACACAAACAGAGACAGTGCCCGATCTCTTATATTGTGCTAGTCTACATTTTCTCACACACAAACAGAGACAGTGCCCGATCTCTTATATTGTGCTAGTCTACATTTTCTCACACACAAACAGAGACAGTGCCCGATCTCTTATATTGTGCTAGTCTACATTTTCTCACACACAAACAGAGACAGTGCCCGATCTCTTATATTGTGCTAGTCTACATTTTCTCACACACAAACAGAGACAGTGCCCGATCTCTTATATTGTGCTAGTCTACATTTTCTCACACACAAACAGAGACAGTGCCCGATCTCTTATATTGTGCTAGTCTACATTTTCTCACACACAAACAGAGACAGTGCCCGATCTCTTATATTGTGCTAGTCTACATTTTCTCACACACAAACAGAGACAGTGCCCGATCTCTTATATTGTGCTAGTCTACATTTTCTCACACACAAACAGAGACAGTGCCCGATCTCTTATATTGTGCTAGTCTACATTTTCTCACACACAAACAGAGACAGTGCCCGATCTCTTATATTGTGCTAGTCTACATTTTCTCACACACAAACAGAGACAGTGCCCGATCTCTTATATTGTGCTAGTCTACATTTTCTCACACACAAACAGAGACAGTGCCCGATCTCTTATATTGTGCTAGTCTACATTTTCTCACACACAAACAGAGACAGTGCCCGATCTCTTATATTGTGCTAGTCTACATTTTCTCACACACAAACAGAGACAGTGCCCGATCTCTTATATTGTGCTAGTCTACATTTTCTCACACACAAACAGAGACAGTGCCCGATCTCTTATATTGTGCTAGTCTACATTTTCTCACACACAAACAGAGACAGTGCCCGATCTCTTATATTGTGCTAGTCTACATTTTCTCACACACAAACAGAGACAGTGCCCGATCTCTTATATTGTGCTAGTCTACATTTTCTCACACACAAACAGAGACAGTGCCCGATCTCTTATATTGTGCTAGTCTACATTTTCTCACACACAAACAGAGACAGTGCCCGATCTCTTATATTGTGCTAGTCTACATTTTCTCACACACAAACAGAGACAGTGCCCGATCTCTTATATTGTGCTAGTCTACATTTTCTCACACACAAACAGAGACAGTGCCCGATCTCTTATATTGTGCTAGTCTACATTTTCTCACACACAAACAGAGACAGTGCCCGATCTCTTATATTGTGCTAGTCTACATTTTCTCACACACAAACAGAGACAGTGCCCGATCTCTTATATTGTGCTAGTCTACATTTTCTCACACACAAACAGAGACAGTGCCCGATCTCTTATATTGTGCTAGTCTACATTTTCTCACACACAAACAGAGACAGTGCCCGATCTCTTATATTGTGCTAGTCTACATTTTCTCACACACAAACAGAGACAGTGCCTGATCTCTTATATTGTGCTAGTCTACATTTTCTCACACACAAACAGACAGTGCCCTATCTCTTATATTGTGCTAGTATACATTTTCTCACACACAAACAGGGACAGTGCCCGATCTTTTATATTGTGCTAGTATACATTTTCTCACACACAAACAGAGACAGGGCCCGATCTCTTATATTGTGCTAGTATACATTTTCTCACACACAAACTGAGACAGTGCCTGATCTTTTATATTGTGCTAGTATACATTTTCTCACACACAAACAGAGACAGGGCCCGATCTCTTATATTGTGCTAGTATACATTTTCTCACACACAAACAGAGACAGTGCCCGATCTCTTATATTGTGCTAGTATACAATTTCTTACACACAAACAGAGACAGTGCCTGATCTCTTATATAGTGTTAGTCTACATTTTCTCACACACAAACAGAGACAGTGCCCGATCTCTTATAATCTACTAGTCTACATTTTCTCCCTCACAAACAGAGACAGTGCCCGATCTTTTATATTGTGCTAGTTTACATGTTCTCACACACAGACACAGTGCCCGATCTCTTATAATCTACTAGTCTACATTTTCTCCCTCACAAACAGAGACAGTGCCCGTTCTTTTATATTGTGCTAGTATACAATTTCTTACACACAAACAGAGACCGTGCCTGATCTCTTATATAGTGTTAGTCTACATTTTCTCACACACAAACAGAGACAGTGCCCGATCTTTTATATTGTGCTAGTATACATGTTCTCACACACAGAGACAGTGCCCGATCTCTTATATTGTGCTAGTCTACATTTTCTCAAACACAAACAGAGACAGTGCCAGATCTCTTATATTGTGCTAGTCTACATTTTCTTACACACAAACAGAGACAGTGCCTGATCTATTATATTGTGCTAGTCTACATTTTCTCACACACAAACAGAGACAGTGCTAGATCTCTTATATTGTGCTAGTCTACATTTTCTTACACACAAACAGAGACAGTACAGTGCCTGATCTCTTATATTGTGCTAGTCTACATTTTCTCAAACACAAACAGAGACAGTGCCAGATCTCTTATATTGTGCTAGTCTACATTTTCTCAAACACAAACAGAGACAGTGCCAGATCTCTTATATTGTGCTAGTCTACATTTTCTTACACACAAACAGAGACAGTGCCTGATCTATTATATTGTGCTAGTCTACATTTTCTCACACACAAACAGAGACAGTGCGCGATCTTTTATATTGTGCTAGTATACATGTTCTCACACACAGACACAGTGCCCGATCTCTTATATTGTGCTAGTCTACATTTTCTCACACACAAACAGAGACAGTGCCAGATCTCTTATATTGTGCTAGTCTACATTTTCTTACACACAAACAGAGACAGTGCCTGATCTCTTATATTGTGCTAGTCTACATTTTCTCACACACAAACAGAGACAGTGCCAGATCTCTTATATTGTACTGTCCTCTCTTGTTATATTTCATTATATATGTAACAGATACAGTATAACCAAATATTCAGAAATGGAAAAATTTCAAATACAATACCTTGAGATGTAAACGATGTATGTTTGATATTTGATATATTTTATATATTATGTATCATTAATATATATGCTTTTCATATTAAATTATTATGCATTAATTGTATACCTGGAAACAAGAGATCCATTTTATCTGTCATAACATGTTTGTGAGCTTATGGTAATTACGTGCAGCATCCTCTGGTCTTTCTGTCGTTCAATGTTTTCCTTTAACTGCCTCTACAAATACCCTAGGTCCTAATATTTGGCCCCTAGGTACCTAGAAAAGAGTACTATAAAGTACCTTGAAAAACCTTGACATTCTCTCAAGGTCACAAGGGGCCATATATGTTTAAAACTCTAAACGACATTGTATAAAAAAAATCTAAATTAGAGCCATGATACTTGGATATGTTATGTAGATCAGTACTGCAAATCTTTTCGTACATATTTTGTTCAGATCAAAGGTCAACTTTGAGTGCTGGCTGGGTTCAAAAGTTAACATGGAATGTAACGGGTAAAGGGTTTAAGAATCTTCTTTTTGAGTTCAATGTGGTCCAGTATCCTGACATTTGGCCAGTAGGTATTTTGGATGTAGTGCTAAAGAATATCTTCATGTAAATTACAATAACTTTCTATTAAGGTCACACGGGTCAAATATGTTGTAAACTTCAAATAACATTTTGTTCAGGATCGTAAGGTCTAGAGACATTATAGTTGAGTAAGTTATAATATTATTTATGTGATTTTTGTCTACCATTTTGATTCAACATTTTACAAAGGATGTACATGTGCACAATGCTTTGCATGATGTATACAGAAATGTTTATGTACAGTGAATTGTCATACACTCAAAGATGATATATATTCTACCTGATAGTTATAGTTAGTGTATGTCGAAAGGCTGTCTCCTTGTCTTCGTAGCAACTTACCGTAATTGATGGAGATTAACCAAATGGTGCAGATTTCATGTTTAGACTTAACAAAATCTGAGTGTGATAATTGACTGAATGAATAACCTATGTGCTTTGTGATTCAAATCCTTGTGTGACTATAAAACAAAATGCATCATATAGTTATTTTCATTGTGACTGACTCTGTAATTGTTTTTTATTAATTAACATCAGAAATGTTATATTTTCTTTGAAAATATTTTATCATTTTTTTTGCCATTTCTGTAACAAGTGTAGGAGTGCAACAATTGTATTCTGCTGAACTCCTCCTGAAGTTCCTATAAAAAAACTTGTTTAATGAGTGTCTGTGTATTAAACCTTGATCTTTTTAACAGTATTTTCATTGACTGCTGTTTCAGGAGATGCCTTGTTATCTAGACATACTGGTATAGACATAGCACAGCTCAACCTCAGTAAACCTGTCACCACAACACACTCAGGGGAGGTAAGTCTGTCTCCATATACTCTCGGGGGAGGTAAGTCTGTCTCCATATATTCTCAGGGGAGGTAAGTCTACAGCCATATACTCTCAGGGAAGGTAAGCTTAAGACCATATACTCTCAGGGGAGGTAAGTTAAAGGCATTATACTCTCAGGAGAGGAAAGTCTACGGCCTATACTCTCAGGGGAGGTAAGTCTAACGCCTTATACTTTCAGGGGAGGTAAGTCTTAACGTCATATACTCTCCAGGGAGGTTAGTCTGTCACCATATAGGTAGCAGTATACAGTAGAGGGTTGTTGCCATGGGTGATATTTTTGTTAAATGGCTAACCCCAGTATAATGATATGTGAAAAAAATATGAAAAATAAAACTGTACTAAAATTGGTATAAGCATGATGAAGTGGGCTATGTGAGCTTCACATTTGTAAAAAAGAAAGAAGATTTTTTTGGTTCGAGGATAAAATTTTGGCCATAATCCGTAAGGGTGCGTACACATGAAAAGCTAGCTTTACAGGAGGTAAAATTTTGACAACAGCACACGACGCAAAATTGCAAAAAATCAAGTTTTACAACTTTACTGGGACCCAGATAATTCTGCAACCAGGTAGGTAATCTTTAATTTCAGACAGAGCTTAGGAAAAAAATTACTAGTTGCGGGGGTCAAATTTTGGGTTAAAAATAGCAATTTTTGGCATTTTTTGGTAATTTTTGATGTGGTAACCATGGTTTTCACACAAGTGACATACATAGAAAAAAGAGGTTTATACACTTCTCAGTACTTTATATGTATTGTAAATGTAATGCAGTTTACAAATATATACATGTATACATGTGTTGTGTAGGGTAAATCCGCTGTGTTTACATTTCCTCGACATGTGCCTTGTTTATCAGAGTCGGGCCATTTCTACTGTATACTGCTACCATACTCTCAGGGAGGTAGGTCTGTCACCATATACTCTCAGGGGAGTTAGGTCTGTCACCATATACTCTCAGGGGAGGTAAGTCTGTCACCATATACTCTCAGGGGAGGTATGTCTGTTACCACTACAGAGCACATTCAGGGAAGGTAAAAGTTTTTGGCAAGCCTTAGTGTTATACTTTCAGTACAGAGTAAGAAAACTGTGTCTGACAGTCTTTACAGATCACATGTCAAGGAAGTTATTTAAACAACAGTTCTCAATTTACATATTGAGTTTAGTAAATTTCCTAACATATATTGCTTGTTTATGCTCAAATAGCATAATAGATACATTGTCAACAACCATTTCACTGTGTCATCAGCAGACAAATACCTAATATTCCCTTGAAGTCAGTCTTGTTTTGTAACCACTACACAATCAGGAATCTCTACTCAGTATGTTTGTTATACACCTTGATTTGACTATTTCCTAAGTTTTCGGCATCAGGTGTTGATGACAATGTTATATTGCTGACTGTTATATTGTTGGTATGTACTTCGTTTGGCAGCTCTGGCGGGGACAGTGGCAAGGCAATGATATCGTGGCTAAAATACTCAATGTGAGGGAATGTACAACGCGTAACTCTCGCGACTTTCAGGAGGAATTCCCGCGACTAAGGTAATATTGCACTTCAATAACTCCAATAATTGTACATGTACTGATAAGTTATTGGGCAGCAGAATGTTCATTTAAAATTTTATTTGGTAAAATGAGACTTTTATAAGAAATATGTTGTCCACATGTTCAGTTTAAAAACAAGAAAAGCTTGTTTTATCTGAAGTATGTTTGTAGAAAACAATTCAGAATCAATATTTGTAATGCTGCAAATGTATTTCTATTGCAAATTGGTTGTTGGACAACAAAATGATGGCAGCAACCTGTAAGTAAGAGCAACACAAGCTGATATAATACTTGTACAGATGATAAAGTTTGTTCTTTATGTGAGCTGTTGTGACTGGTGGTTTCTTCTTTTCAGGATCTTTAATAACCCCAATGTGTTGCCAGTCCTGGCTTGTTGTAACCAGCCCCCAAATCTGGTGGTGATCAGCCAGTTCATGCCGTACGGCTCCCTATACAACGTCCTACATGGAGAAACAGGTAGAGTCTTTACCAGTCATCCATAGTTTGTTACAGCTGTAGTTCATTGAGATTCTTATGTACATAATGATGTATTCCTGTTGGAGAACATTGTACAATGTTTGGGAGAGGAGGGGGTTATCTGAACTGGAGAATTGGTTGTATCGTGTATTCCTTGATCATCTTGAATTCGACCTGTTGTCTAACTAGTGTTAATTTCTAACCCTGGCTCAGTAACAATGCACAAAGCTTGTGTTTCATAGGTAGTAAGGAAATAGTTTTAAAAACAGCTTATATCTTTTTTTTAATTACTTCTAAAAATAATATGACAAAAATGTGAATACATTATTTGTGTTTTTGACTTCTGAAGTGCATTTGATTATATGACATTTAGTTTTGTTAAATAATTGTTATATGTAAAGACTTGTTTGTTGTCAGAGGATTTTAATCAAGATTTTACAAGTCCTACAAGTTTGAATTAAAACATTAGTGCTAGATAGACTTTGCTGTACTGTAATAGTGTTGAGACATTAGTGTTAGATAGACTTGGCTGTACTGTAATAGTGTTGTGACATTAGTGTTAGATAGACTTGGCTGTACTGTAATAGTGTTGTGACATTAGACTCTCCTGTTTCGTTACAGGTATAGTTCTAGATCAGAACCAGACATTGCGGTTTGCCATTGATGTCGCTCGTGGCATGGAGTTTCTGCACTCAATGGATCCCCTTATCCCAAATCTCCTCCTTACCAGTAAACATGTTATGGTAAGTAAAATAGAGTAATCTCCCTTGACATCCTAGAACATAACTTGTCTTACAACTGACTAAGTTAGATTTTAAGCTACTTGTAAGTCAGTTGTAAAGGAGAATTATCTCATGTTTTACTGAAATATTCCATTTATTTTCTATTATCTTTTCTTGCTGATAGGTATTTTTCATCTTTGTGAGTAACTAAAATTATAGAATGAACTTTCATTATTTAAGAATTAATATAAAAATCAAAACTTATGAATATAAGAATAAGGGACGAATAGTTACTAAAAGATTACTGAACAAATCTTCACTTTTCACATTCCGTCACTGAAAAGTGTCAGAATATATTCACATAAAAACGATTTGATAGATGATTTGTGTTTTGTTATCACACATTTTTCATGACTTGCCCTCATTTGTTAGATATGTTTTACACTGGTTATATTCTTTAATTTTAATCACTTTCCCTCCTCAGACTTTCTTGTTTATGTCTTTGGTTTATTTTTCTGCTTTCTTGCCAATTATTGCTTTCTAGATTGACGAGGATTTGGCAAAGATAAATATTGATGATCCTAAGTATTATGGTCCGGATGGCACAGTTAACGGGGTAAAAGTCAGCCGACCAAATCATGGCGTTCTGCATGAGTGCCTGGTTGTGTGATCGTACTCCCAACATACAGTATCATGATATACCATAGTTACTAACCTCCAAAACCAAACAACTATTGTTTTACTTTACAGAAAAGGAGAATTTGATCTTCTGATAAAACTGTTTATCACCATATAATGTAAACATCACTGTTATCATGTGTTTTCATCGTTTTGTTGAGTGGTGGTACCCTCAGGAATTAACCACGATTGTCGACTAAAATTTTGTAAATGAGTAAACATTTGTCTACCACTTGTTCGAAAAGTGTTGGAGCAAGTTAGGAAAATCAGAGAAATGTTAGCTTCCAAACGATTTCTGTAATGAACTAGCTAACACTGGGTCCAAGGGGGTTACACTTTTCACAACGTTTGCTGGCAATTATTGTTTGTGGCTGACATTTAATGTAACTTGTAAAACAAGTCTTTACCAAGGAGGACAAGAAGTTGATTGGTTAATGGTTCAGCTGCTGAGCTAATAGTTTATCATGAATAAGACCTAGGTCATAGAAAGGCACCATCACATTACTATAGATTAGCAGTTGTAATACATTTGCAGTAGTCTCCCTTGTTTCACATACAGTGATGTAGTTTACACTCAGGGTACCTTGTCTAGTGCAGTCTATAAACCTAAACAGTCACAAACCTTAATATTTGAACTGGTGCTGTTTATACCACCAGTTGTTACAAAGCTAGATACTCTTGACTATTGCTGTTTGTTATATATGGCACGGTAGTCTAGTGGTAGGACGCAGGGCTCATGACCGAAGGGTTGCGAGTTCGAGTCACGGCACGGCACTGTGTTGCATCTTTGAGCAAGATACTTTATTCTGCTTCTTCCAGTCTCCTCAGCTGTAAATGAGTATGTGGTTGGGCAGCGCTAGAATTGTTGAATGCTAGCTGTTAGCGCCGAAATGGCAGCTCTGGCTGTAGGCTCCCCAGGGAGTTGAGAAATATATTGGCTGGTTGCAAAGGCCCTATAACCATGGCTAATAATTTGTGAACTGCTTTGAGATGACCTACAAACTTGTGATAAAGCAGTATATAAGAACCTCAAATTATTATTACCATAATTATATATACCACCAAAAGTGGAAAATGTAGATACCAGGTACCCAGCCAATTACAGTCTACAACCTCTGCAGATTGTCTTCCTAGTGCAGTCCATGACTTCAGCAGTCACAAATCTAGATACCCTGCCTAGTGAAGCATATGACTTCAGTTGTCACAATCAGAAAGTTACATACTTGATACAGTCAATTATCTGAAAAGGTCATTTCTGTTAAACTGAGGCTCTTTTGGATTTATTGAGAGTTTGGCATTCTTGTAATGTTGAAATCTCTTTTTTACATCATATTTATGTGTCTATTTAGTGATTGACCCTGATTCCTTGTGTCTTGGTTATGTGGAAATGGACAAGTTTTCCTCTCCCATAACCAGGACTGTTTGTAATAGTTCAAGTAGCAAATTTTAATTGCAATGTGTGGGGTTGCCTCCCTTTTCCCTGTTTGTTATGGTGTGGTGGACCAGTGGTGGTATGGGCCAGATCTATCTTCCCATGCTTGAAGGTTTTTGAGTTTTGTGGTTTGGATCCGTTTCCCTGTGATTGTAGGGATATTATGCTGGGTTAGTGGAAATTATATTCTTAAATATGTACCATTTTCACTTGAGTTCACTTTGCATGCTGTTGATTGGGAATATAAATTGTCACTGCACAGCTCATTGTATTTTTTTTCTAATGTATTTGAAAAATATTACACATTATTTAAAGTTAATTAAATAAATCTAAAAAAGCAACAAAATGTTTTGTGCCACGAATGCTACTATTAAATGAACAAGTACTGTTGTATAAAAAGGGTCCATACAGAAATCTGTCAAAAGATCTTATAAAACTTATTTAAAAACAATGTGAAATGTAAACTTTTGAGTATCATCAAAAGTCTGTATAAAGTCACACTCCGACACTTGTAGATTAGTCTTTTAGATTTTACAGTAAGTTAGTCAGCAAATGAACCAAACAAATTGTGATTTGTCATTACCGTACACATAGAAGATGTAGAGACTATTTTACAATGTACTGTATAGATAGAATACTAAAGATCACACGTTTGCATAGCTTTATATTTTAGTAACATCCTAAGCTAAAGGAAAGGCATTTTGTTACTTTGTTATTTTCATTTTCATTTATAAATAATCTCTTGAAAAATAAACTACTTTGCTATAGCTGGTTTTAGGAAACCATTACCTTCAGGCATATAGCTATTTTGTTACTAAATAATTGTATTAGAGTTTAAAGTTTATTTTGTCTCTATTGTTTGCATGAATGTTTATTTACTTATTTTTGTTTGTCACTAGTTTTAGAAATTTTCTTTTGTTTACTATTTTTATCAATTAACTCAAACCTGAGATATATATATAAGTGTAGCCGTGATCAGATATTGAACTTGTTAGAATACCATTTTCTTATTCAAGCTAATGGAAGATGTTGTGGTTAACAATTTTAGCAAAGAAAGATTGTCAGACAGGTTTGAGGGGAAACACCTGACTGACGGTGATTGACTTGAAGGGGAGAGCTATCCTAAGGGACAAACTTGATGGAGATATTTTGATTGATTTGAAGGGGGAAGAGATATCCTAAAGGACAAAGTTGATGGAGAGATATGATTGATTTGAAAGGGGGGAGAGATATCCTAAAGGACAAAGTTGATAGAGAGATTTGATTGATTTGAAGGGGGGGAGAGATATCCTAAAGGACAAAGTTCATGGAGAGATTTGATTGATTTGAAGGGGGGAGAGATATCCTAAAGGACAAAGTTGATGGAGAGATTTGATTGATTTGAAGGGGGGAGAGATATCCTAAAGGACAAAGTTGATGGAGAGATTTGATTATTTTGAAGGGGGAGAGATATCCTAAAGGACAAACTTGATGGAGAGATTTGACTGACTTGAAGGGGAGATCTAACTTGATGAAGAGATTTTTCCTGACCTACCAGTGTTAGGGTTTGGCATGTTCACACTGACTGCATTGAGGTCTTGGCGATTTTGAATTGATTTGAGCATGTTGTTAAGATTGAATATTTTTTAAATGATTAGACTATTGCTTTGGTATAGCAGCAGAGAGTGAGTGCATTTAGAACAGTGTTATTAGCAGTTCAATACAACATTCATAGTTTACACTATAAAATCAGCTACAAAATTTTGTCAAATAAAAGATCAGATGTGAAACTGCTGGTTGATGACATTTTGTGATACATGTAATTTGGTTATTATTTTTCAAAATTTTCTTCATGCAGGGAACGTTTTCCTGGTGGTAAGATGAAGCAATGTGTGACGGCCTTTAGCCCATTAGGTCACAATGATAAACAGTAGGATTTCCACTGTCTGACACTGTAAATTTAATTATTTTTACACACACGTATATGTATAACGTAGTTGGTGTTGTTAATCAAACTTTTCAAAAGTCTGGCATATTGATTGTTATGGATATATTTATGCAATAATTGAAGTCCAGAAGTAAAATGTTTATTTTCTTTAACAGATTGATGAAGATTTGACAGCAAGGATCAACATGGCTGACTATAAATTCTCCTTCCATGAGAAAGGCAAGCTGTACAATCCAGCTTGGATGGCACCAGAGGGTGAGTCTGTCGTATCCTAGAATGCTCATTCTGCTGGCCTCTTTACTAGTGAATCAGAATATTTACATCCCATAGAATAGTGTTAGAGGGATAGTCTGTCTACTCATCAATACATTCCTATACAGTTAAGCTTTGTTAAACTCGCCATCACTTTTCCCACCAATTTCCCCCCTATCCAGCTAGCACTCTTAGGAATAGTCTTTTATTTTTCACTCATCTGAGCTGAGTGATAATTTAAATGGAAAAAACAACTGGACACTTTTCCAAGAAATGACTGATGCAGGAATCTTCAGTTCAGTTGAATCAGTCTTGCTGAACCTTGGTAGGACAAATAGAAAACATGGCTGTCTTCTGAAATCCAAAACCTGCCACGGGGGCTGCTATGTGGACCATTATTGTTTAACTTGAACGGAAATTCAGTTGTGTAGGTGTTATTGTTTGCACTTTTACTAGAAAAAAGCAACTCTGGCTGACTCCACTTCAGTAGATTCTATAGTCTATGCGATACTGCAATAAACTTATTTACCCAAAAATTACAAGATTGATTTTGAATTATTTCACAACTGATCGGACAAAGTGGGTGATTTTTGGGTTTGATCTGTTGACAGCGTTGCAGCGTAAACCGGCTGATATTAACCAACGAGCAGCCGACATGTGGAGCTTCGCCATGGTGATGTGGGAACTGGAAACACGGGAGGTACCTCATTCTGATCTGGCCGCAATGGAGGTGGGAATGAAGGTAGGCCACCTAACCACTCGATTCCAGGCTTTGCTGCTAGCATCTACAAAGGGACTATGTAGCTTTATGTAAAGAAAAATAATATAAATTTATTGGTCCAAATCACCATGTAGACTTGTACAACCTCTCACCAAACATCCTTGTTCTATCTTATTACAAAGTAAAAACCAGCTATAGTGATGGTTTTTACAGTTTGCAGCTGATAGCCTTATTCTATGTGTTGTGCTATCAGCAAGTACAAGTACTTCATATGTGAAGTAAGTTCAACAACAACTTTTATTGTCAAAAACCTAGCCGGGTAATTCTCTTAATGTGATAATACACCTTCAACATGTCCTTACAGTAGAGCAGTGAGTCAAAAGTGTTGTTATATAGGTCATCAACTACGTCAATAGATTGATTTCGAATCGCTTATCGCATCATAATAATGACTTGTTATCCTCACAGATTGCTATGGAGGGTCTGCGCATCAACATCCCGCCTGGTATAGCATCACATCTGTCACGCCTCATTAAGATCTGTATGAACGAGGAGCCAGGCAAACGACCCAAGTTTGACATGATCATCCCGATCCTGGAAAAACTGAGGCAAAGATAAACAGGGCATCAAACGAGGGAGAGACAGGAGAATAGGACCCAACATTTACAACATCTCGGGCAAAGTAGTCCGATGATGTAAAAACATAACCTTCCCTGTGTCAGTGACATACTCATGTGTTATTCAACGCAGCGCACCACTGCCAAATCTTAGATAATAGTTGTTAACTCACTTTTGGTTCAAATTGCTGTGCTGTCTTCCTGGAAATTGAGTAAAGTTTGTGGTTGTCAGACTTCTATACAGTCCTCATATCTACTGGATTAAAAAGGAGTAGAGCAGTACCTAGGATAAAAGTAGGGTGTTTTATTGTAAAGACCTGATCCTGTTTTCTAGTGTGTATACATGTATTGAAGAAAGCTGGAAGGTTATTTGGAAGGAAGTATTTTGAAAAAATAACAAAATCCTGAAAAATTATTTATTTTAAATGTTACCGTGATTCACTTAAAAAACCCAAATATGTTTTCAACAATTATGCTTTAAAAGACTTTGGAGCCTTTCAATGAAGGAGGCAAACAGATATTTGCCTTATTGGTTGAAGATGGAGGGTTGAATCAAAGAGTGACAAAGTGCTTAGTGTTCATTTTTGTGATTTCTTCGGCAGCATGTTTTCGGATGATTTAATTTTCACAAGCTCAAACATCAATAACAATAAATATGGAGTAGTTGGTTTTACACTGGGGGAGTGTGTGTGTGTGTGTGTGTAGGGGGGGGGGGGGGGGACATGTATAAGCATGCCCATAATATACTTAATTCTCCATATCTACATTTAGATAACAGTAAGTGAATCACTTGTTGTAACAGAGTTGAAATCCTGCTTAAACATTGATACTGACACAGGGCAACACTGTTGGGGTTCAGGTGATATGGTGCTATCAGTTTTAATAATACCAAATGCAATTACATGTGTTTATGTTTGCAAGGCCAAATATTATGAATTTTGCTTATTTATTTGCATGATTGTATGAACATGTGTATGGTGTATTTTTATATGTACTGTATAATATTATTATACTTATATTACTTGCATTTTTTGTCATGAAAACCATAATACAAAATGCATGAGCTTTATACATACTCCCTGTTAAGTTAATGTAAACTGCTTGACTGCTTGACCTTAGTTTACTAGGCATTACTTAGTTAGCGATTATACAATGTTCATGTTTTATCTATTGGTCTACAGCAGGATCACGTTTCCATGGGGGCCGGATGTAATTGTTTCATGGATACATAAAACAAAATGCAATCCAAATTGTTCAAACATAAAGGGTGTAAAACTATACTTTCTGTTGGAACAGACAATCGTGGCCCCCATAAAAATTGATGTACTGTAAGCCCTGGTTGCTGTGCCTTTTCATGTTGTGAAATATAACTTGGCCTGTATTTAGTGACTGTATTTTTATTTGCTTTGTTTCAAAGTATACCAGCACTGATAGCTATGTTTCATTAACTTTAAGACTTTGTAAACTGCCAACTGCCACAGAAGATGTCATATTTTGCTATTTGCTTCAAACAGAATCTCCATCAGAAATGTAACTCTATTACTTAGCTTGTTTTTTTTTCATTTTTTGTTGTTGAGTGAACTTGCATAAACAAGATAACAGTAATAAGTTCATTGTAACATAATCTAAATTCTCAACAATACTCATGTCAGTCTTCCAGAGATGTTCTCAAGGGACGTCTGAATATAATATTTAGCTGATTGTTTAAAGATAAAAAGAAATGTTTTTCTCTCGAGTAAACCAGAGACATGAGCACAGATTATAGAATTACTGTGTGTTGGTAAATAGTATAAAAAGTACATTGAAATCAAGATGATTTAATCTGTATGGCACATAAAATGAGCAACAGAAAACTGGCATATTTCTGCTATATTTTTTTTTCAAAACAATGGTCATAGTCTGATGTCATACAATCCAGTAATATATAAAGATTAGGATACCTGATGTCAACAAGTGGCATCAATCTAAACACTCTATACAGGTTAGCGAAGCATCTACTTCAGTAAAATTTGTATACAGGTGAATAATGGTTGTTGATCACTTATTGTAACGGGAATTTTCTGTTTCACTTTATACTTTAAAACATGAATTATTTGCAACAATGTTGTTTTCACATTTGAATGCAAATTTAAAACAGTGTCAACCATTGTTATGTGCAAGTTAAATCTCAAACGTGAGAGTGAATCTACTACCAATTAAAATATTTTGAAAATGCATTGATATATTAGGGGAAGAGAAAACATTACTGCTAACCGTTCAACAGCATATATTGATCTCATTACCAGATGTAGCTATATAGATCAGGTATTTTTATGAAATCTTCCAGTGCTGATTAAAAACAATTTGTTACATTTATTCCTCGCTATCGAAAGTCACGTTAATGTAATACAAATCACAGGGGCATGGATCGCTTTACTTGTAATATAAAAAAAAATAGGGGTCTCTATACTAATGTATATATTAGTATAGGAGACCCCTATTTTTTTATATTACAAGTAAAGCGATCCATGCCCCTGTGATACAAATATTAATAAAGTGCCTTTTGTTAGAGTGATACTATTATTTTGATCTCCTCAGTTCACAGATTTGAATTGAATGTTGCTTGATTTTTAGAATGGTTAATTGTGAATTTAATATTTGATTTTATAAGTTTGGGTTCAAATTTACATATTTTTGCTATTTTTTGGGCAGAATACTTTTCAGGACATTTCATTTTGGAAGTTTCAGTACATGTAATATGATAAATAATTTGCACTAAACAGTTACTCGATAATAAGAATTTGTCCTAACTTCTTTGAAAAATGATGAATAACTGAGGCAATGCTATTTTAGAAAACCCACTATATTGCTGAATTTTTCACAAATGGATGCATTACCGTTCGAGTCATGCCTACATGGTCTATACCCTGAGTATTACTGTTAACGTGTACCTTTACTGTTCATGACAATACATACTTGCAGAACAAGGTAGTATTGTACAAAATTTATCTGCAATAAAAAAATCTTAATAGAAATATTTGTGTTGTTTTCATGTGTGCATTGCATTGTAAACAAACAACAAAGCAGTAGTTAACACTGCGTTCTGTTTATTTTCTGTCTCTCTAGCCATTACCCCTTCATTGCAACCAGCAAAAGTATAGAGGCATAGCTATGTACCACTAGTTGTTTACAAAGTATCATCTCCAGTTCCTTTTCGGGTCCCCTAATGAAGCTTAAACACGCTTAGATGATAAATGAGTCGCCATTAAGTGTTAGAAATAAAAAAAATACGAAGAGCTTAATGTTGTGATGGTTTAGGCAGATATCTACATGGTGTACATTATAGATGTTACGGCAAACATAGAGGCCTAAGAGAAATCTACATGCAGTCTTCCGCCTTGTGTCTAGAATCTAGAACTTAGGACAGCCACATGTGACTGCACCTATACAACCTGATAAGCGTAACAAGTGAATTGCGCTGTACCATATACAGCTATTTCCTCCGGTTAAGACTCATCGGTGACGCTAGGGTACCAAAACTGGGATATGCAATGTTTTCTAAACTATTGTTGAAACAGAAAGGAAGGTGCATCAAACCTTTTTAACAACTTCGTTCGTGGATCGAAGAGAAAGACACAAAGAAGCAAACATGTAGAATAAAAATATCCCACACGAGAGAAACACGACCGATGATGGTATGCCGCTTTAATACAGAGATGTTTGTTTGTAGGAATGAAACTTCGATCAATAATTTGTCCCAAAAAGGACACATATAGCTGTCAAAGAGCTTCTCCCAACTAACGTCCTATTACGGCATACCAAACTTGCAAACAACCAGAGCCAGAATTGGCAAACATACCGATGTTACAGAGAACAGGTTAGACGCACACTGAATCAACAGGTCATAGTAGGTGATCCCTTCCGCTGGTATTCATGGACATTCTGTACTGCAAATTTAACTATTCCATTGCAAGATGCACATGCAGACACATGGGTAAAATGCACAAGCACTTGTTGATAACATCCCCCTCGGCCATTCCACCATAACGACGATGGAGTCGAACGCACATTCTAAGCTATCAAGTTCTCCACTATGAAATGAAGGTCATAGGTGGACAATCTGAACCAACTCTGCTAATTTCAAGTCATTTCAATATATAGTACGGCATTAATATTACTGATGTTTTGCTTTAACATTATAATCTTCCCTAATGATAATTACATCATTAAAAGCTTTAAAAGTCTGATTATAAGACATTTGCAGTCTTTGGGATAAGCTGTGCAAATACAGGAGATTTCAATATATGCTACTAATTGTGCTGATATTCTTATTTGCGAGTTGACCGCACATACACAATTTACTTGGCAACTGTATGCATGGACCCAACAAACGGTTCATGACATGTTAGTTGCACCCCAGACTGTGGTCAATAGAATGCATGTCGAACCCAGTGTGTCGAACAATATGGATGTTTATGATTCCTACGGTTATCGTTTGCAATCTGACAACCATGCAGGTAATTGTGAGGGGTAGAGTAACATTGCACTATTCGTAATAATATTAAAACATTGTATATCGCCAAAAACGGGTTCCTGTTATTATAATTTATATAAAGCAATTGGTATAATCCCGTCATTATCGATCAATTCTAGGCTCGTGTTTTCGTATGACCCTGTATGTTGCAACGACGTAAAAACCCGAAAAATATCAATGTCAATTATGCAAATGGAAAAAAACTAATTTTAAGTAGGCAATATTTGTGTATATTTTGTATTTTTATGTATTTTCCACTTTAGATAAGATCTTTTGAAATATTTTTTTGATATATGTGAACATAGCTTTCATGGTTGCAAGAAGTTGGATTTGTAATATCCATTAGACACAAGTGATTTATGATAATTAGTTTATTGCCTTGAAAAGCTGATGGGAGGAATGGAAGATTACTGATACAATGTATAGCGCTGGGTGCCATTTCACGATGGAGGCACACATACTGGTGTCCGTAATTTATTAACTTGCACTCGTAATTTACGCGTGTCTCGTGAAACGGACTAAATAACTTACGTACGGTTTACGGGTACCCGTAAATTAACGTAACCGTCGTAAAAATCCCCCTGCCATCAACTTTAACATCATTTACCATGAACACTTTAAAAAGAAAATTGTACTTCTGATTAGGACAACATAGCATATTTCTGTTTATTATGAAATGTTTTGATTTTTAATGACATAATTTTTGAATTGTAAATTATTTTTCAGTGTATGTAAATACTGATCATAGGTATGCATCATCAGATCATCAATCAATGCATATATCATGTCATCCGGGCATTTTCTGACAACAAAAACTTTACACATTAATTCTAGCTTGATCGCTTGCAACATGAATCATCAAAGATCAAAACCATCTTGGTATGTAGCCTTCAATTCCAGTTGACGTAAATGAATATCAGTCTATAATATACTGAACTTCGGTACCGAAAAGTACTATATGTATGTGTGTTTTTTTATTTCCGGGTGATGCAACTGATGATACATATATTTTAATGACGACATAATTTATTTGATTTTTTGAAGGGTGATTTATTTACATCATAGGTTGATTACACAAAATAAACTAGTTCACACGTGTCTTTTGACAGCGCCAATCAATGGCATTATCATCAAAGAACAACGAAGGAAGGGTTATTGACTATGCCCAGTTTGACGGCGTTTTCACCACCATAAGACGCCTTATCAGGCGACCAATTGGGCTGTCTATATAAGCGCACAGAAGGGTTACTCTGAACAAAGGTCAATGAACGGAAAGGCTTGATAGAAGACGGAGACACTTCCGGTAACGGCGCCGGAGTTGATTTCTTGCCGGCACTTCCTGTTTGAGAGGCAAGGTTTTGTCTGACGAACACTCTGTACAGAAAGTCAGACATATGACCGTTGAGCTTGTAGGCTTGTGGTATACTACCAAGTGGGTTGACCTCCTTATCACTAGGACCACGTAGAGTCGTCATTTTGACCGACTTTGGACTCTTTTTTGGATCTGAAATAAAGAAAAGAAGAATGAATTATAGCTGATCATATTCTAAAGTAGGATATTTAAAATGTTCTTTAAAAATAAAGTCTAAGGCACGCACAGGTAACTGCGTTAACTATTGGTAACAATTAGCAAAAGATACAATATGTCAAAAATGAATAACAAATATCTCTGCACCATATAGCCGTTTCGTCCTTCTAAGATTTATCGGTGAAGCTCGGGACCAAAAAGATGGAAATCAAAACTATTTTTGAAACGCAGGAGGATGTGTGTATAGAACCTCTTAATGATATGGACTTCAGGAATTGAGTACTTTTACATTTTATATCAATAATGAGTATGTGTATATCATGCACCATTTCACCACTAAAATATAACTGTAGCTATCAAGGTCACGACAAACCTCAAAAAAGAAAGAACTCTTTCGGCAGAGTTTAATAACTTGTATATAGAAAGATGACCGTGTGATTGCCCCAATACATTGTGTAGCACTACCAAAAGTAGATACATTGTGTAGTACTACAAATAGTAGATACATTGTGTAGTACTACCAATAGTAGAAACATTGTGTAGTACTACCAATAGTAGAAACATTGTGTAGTACTACCAATAGTAGATACATTGTGTAGTTCTACAATAGTCGATACATTGTGTAGTACTACCAATAGTAGTTACATTGTGTAGTACTACCAATAGTAGATACATTGTGTAGTACTACAAATAGTAGATACATTGTGTAGTTCTACAAATAGTAGATACATTGTGTAGTACTACCAATAGTAGTTACATTGTGTAGTACTACCAATAGTAGATACATTGTGTAGTTCTACAAATAGTAGATACATTGTGTAGTTCTACAAATAGTAGATACATTGTGTAGTACTACCAATAGTAGTTACATTGTGTAGTACTACCAATAGTAGATACATTGTGTAGTTCTACAAATAGTAGATACATTGTGTAGTTCTACAAATAGTAGATACATTGTGTAGTACTACCAATAGTAGTTACATTGTGTAGTACTACCAATAGTAGATACATTGTGTAGTTCTACAAATAGTAGATACATTGTGTAGTTCTACAAATAGTAGATACATTGTGTAGTACTTCCAATAGTAGTTACATTGTGTAGTACTACCAATAGTGGATACATTGTGTAGTACTACCAATAGTAGATACATTGTGTAGTACTACAAATAGTAGATACATTGTGTAGTACTACCAATAGTAGATACATTGTGTAGTACTACCAATAGTAGATACATTGTGTAGTACTACCAATAGTAGATACATTGTGTAGTACTACCAATAGAAGATACATTGTGTAGTACTACCAATAGTAGATACATTGTTTAGTACTACCAATAGTAGATACATTGTGTAGTACTACCAATAGTAGATACATTGTGTAGTACTACCAATAGTAGATACATTGTGTAGTACTACCAATAGTAGATACATTGTGTAGTACTACCAATAGTAGATACATTGTGTAGTACTACCAATAGTAGATACATTGTGTAGTACTACCAATAGTAGATACATTGTGTAGTACTACCAATAGTAGATACATTGTGTAGTACTACCAATAGTAGATACATTGTGTAGTACTACCAATAGTAGATACATTGTGTAGTACTACCAATAGTAGATACATTGTGTAGTACTACCAATAGTAGATACATTGTGTAGTACTACCAATAGTAGATACATTGTGTAGTACTACCAATAGTAGATACATTGTGTAGTACTACCAATAGTAGATACATTGTGTAGTACTACCAATAGTAGATACATTGTGTAGTACTACCAATAGTAGATACATTGTGTAGTACTACCAATAGTAGATACATTGTGTAGTACTACCAATAGTAGATACATTGTGTAGTACTACCAATAGTAGATACATTGTGTAGTACTACCAATAGTAGATACATTGTGTAGTACTACCAATAGTAGATACATTGTGTAGTACTACCAATAGTAGATACATTGTGTAGTACTACCAATAGTAGATACATTGTGTAGTACTACCAATAGTAGATACATTGTGTAGTACTACCAATAGTAGATACATTGTGTAGTACTACAAATAGTAGATACATTGTGTAGTACTACCAATAGTAGATACATTGTGTAGTACTACAAATAGTAGATACATTGTGTAGTACTACCAATAGTAGATACATTGTGTAGTACTACAAATAGTAGATACATTGTGTAGTACTACCAATAGTAGATACATTGTGTAGTACTACAAATAGTAGATACATTGTGTAGTACTACCAATAGTAGATACATTGTGAAGTACTACCAATAGAAGATACATTGTGTAGTACTACAAATAGTAGATACATTGTGTAGTACTACCAATAGAAGATACATTGTGTAGTCCTACAAATAGTAGATACATTGTGTAGTACTACCAATAGTAGATACAGTTTATAATATAGTAGATACAGTTTATAATATAGTAAATTCAGTTTATAAAACTACAAATAGTAGATAAGGTTTATAATATAGTAGATACAGTTTATAATATAGTAGATTCAGTTTATAATATAGCAGATACAATTTATAATATGGTAGATACAGTTTATAATATAGAAGAAACAGTTTATAAAACTACAAAAAGTAGATACATTGTGTAATACTACAAATAGAAGATCCATTTTAAGAAACTACAAATAGTAGATGCAGTTTATATTATTACAAATAATAGAAACAGTTTATAATACTACAAATGGTAGAAACAGTTTATTATACTAAAAATAGTAGATATTTTTTTTATAATGCTACAAATAGTAGAAACAGTTTATAATACTGTAAATAGTAGAAACAGTTTATAATACTGTAAATAGTAGAAACAGTTTATAATACTACAAATAGTAGATACAGTTTATAATACTACAAATAGTAGATACAGTTTATAAAACTACAAATAGTAGATACAGTTTATAATACTACAAATAGTAGATACAATTTATAATACTACAAATAGTAGAAACAGTTTATAATACTGTAAATAGTAGATA